GTTGGATCGACAAAATTCCCTCGTGTGCGGGCAACATTTACGGCATTTTCGTCATTCGTGACATGTAAACCAAATATCAAACATGTTTGATATTTTTCTTCATTCGTGACCAAAAAATTCTCGTGTGCGGCGAGCAAACGACAAGCGCGCCTGAATAGGAAAATTTGCGCATGCGTGCAACTTGCAGAATTAAAAACAACATAGCGGATCAAAATCACGAGCACGCATGCGCACATTTTCCTATTCAGGCGCGTTTGTCGTTTGCTCGCCGCACACGAGAATGTTTTGGTCACGAATGACGAAAAATATCAAACATGTTTGATATTTGGTTTACATGTCAAGAATGACGAAAATGCCGTAAATGTTGCCCGCACACGAGGAAATTTTGTCGATCCAACTTGTCACGAATAACAAGCACGCGCGACAAGTGCGCTCGTGTGCGGCGGGCTTAAGGGATGGCCGGTCCAATTCTACCACTACACAGAAATTTAGCATTGCACGAATTATCCAGTATAACCAAAATAAAGTTACTGCGTTACTTACTTTACTAAATGATATAATAGGCAAGACACCAACTTGCATTGTAGTATGAACGTCTATTGGTACCACGCCACAAGTTAATACATAGACAAATACTGCATACACAACTGGAAATATTACAGCACCAGATATGATGCCATTGTAATAATAGCTCAAAATTATAAGAATAGTAGTTTGAATACTCATGAAAGATGTTTCTCCCCATGTACTACAGAAACAGAAAATTAATAATTAGATATAATTATAAGAATTACAATTAAATCGGCTATCAGCCGTTTTATAATACATTCATATACAGTAGACTCTTGTATTACAATATTTCGACAGTTTTTTCAGCCACAACGTGTGTTGCAGCTTTTGTAATGTGTTTGTTTTATTAGTATTAATACTGTAAATCTTCAGAAATGATGAAAAGGAAAGAATTATTACACTGGCCTGTAGGCCAAGTGTCTTAAATCCCTCTTTTTCTGTTTTTTTTTTCGTAGTCGAGAAATCGAGTTTGCGTTAGGTCATCTCAGGGTGCAACGTGCTCCAGTGACATATTCAGTTCAGTTTCAAAATGGCGGCTTTTCACTGAGCGATCTAACTATATTCCACACAGTTTCGTTGAATTTTCAAAGAATTGTGGATTTTACGTTGTGTCGCACTCTGGCCTTTCTTGCGTGTTGAATTAGTGTGTTTTTCTTTGTGTACAATATAGAGGAATATAAACAAGGACAAGTTAAAGGTTTGACAGTTTGACTTTTTAATTAACAAGTATACATGTATATAAATATACGTTGTAGGCTCATAAACATGCGTTGTGCTCTTGTATTCATTTTCGTAAGTATAGATTTGCACCTAATTACATTAATTTGCACCAAATATCTTTCCAATTCATCATATATTTATACTATAAAATGTATGTTTTCGATCGTATTCAGCGAGGTGGCATTGCGTGCGGCGAAGTGAAACGTGGTACTGTTCGATTTGTTTTTGGAACAAGATCCAACTTTTCCCCCCACTTTCTTAATTCTCAAATTGTTTATTAGTTTTTTTAATACTGGTTGGGGTTAGAGAAGGACTTGGGGTTGGGATCAGTTTATCTTATAAATGGAAGCAAATTGGCATATTTTTTAGAAGAATCGTCCATGTCTATGAACTCTTGCACCTGAAACGAGCCATATAATGGCATTAAAAATCAAGGACTATATAATTTCTTCGCTATTATTGGCCCATCATTATATTTACGGTTGATAGTTGATGATCAGTTACAGTGGCCCTGGCTTGTCAGGTTGAGTTGCCCGTAGCCGGAGGGTACGCCTGAGCCGGCGTCTTGGTATATTATGGTTGATAGTTGCTGACCATGAATGTATTTATTGGTTATTTTTATTTAGTATAAACCTACTAGTAGGCTATCACATATCGTGCCTTCTGATTGGCTACGCTACTAGTAGGCTATTAGTGATAGCTTACTAATAGAAAATTCAAAATGGCGGAAAATTCGCCTTTTGCACTTTTGCCGAAGTGTCTGATGATTTTTTGGACGACTTGTTGAACAATTCTGTACCAAAAAATACGAAAAAAGCAACAAAAATATGGAATGGCAATTTTTAAGGGTACGAAAATAGACAAAATAACATACACTCAATGAAATTTTAAAATAAAAACTGAATTTTGTAAAACACTTTACGCGAACAAAAAATAAAATATTTGTTTACCTTTAATGGTTTTATAATGTTTTTTTTTGTGTATTTTTGTATTGTGTTTGCAGCCTAGTTGTAAATTAATGTTAAAGTTATACTAAAACAATTAGACAACTTGGCCTCGTTGTCCATGAGCAAATAGTAAACTCGGCTTCGCCTCGTTGACTATTCGCTCATAGACAACTCGGCCTCGTTGTCTAATTGTTAAATGGTCCCAGATATCCCTTATCTACTTCTCTACTACACATTACACCCTACCACGAAAGTTGCCATTTTCAGGCCAGTGTTGACGCCTGAGCAGGCGTCTTGTTAAACGAAACATGTAATTTTACCAAAAATATGCAAAATGGCTGTTCGCTAAATTTAATAAAAAATTATTGCCAACTGTAGGCAAAAGTGTAGTGTATGTAGTACTCTTTAACATATACATCTGACGTGGTTATAGTCAGTGGTTATAGTGTCTGTTCTTAATTATGTGACACGTGATCAAACTACTGTGCAATCTTCTGACACTCACTCCCGGGGACCTTCGCTCGAAACTTTGAAGTGTTTTTTAAACTTTTCCATGTACTTTAGACACAATTAACTATGGTAGAAAAAATAACTTCAGTCCACTCAATAAATCATTATTTTCACGCAATTATTACCGTAATAATTGGTATGATGATCATTTATATAATTACTACCTAACAGTAGATATACTGTGGAATAGTTGCGGAATCATTGTCCATTGTCATACACCTAACTACATTCCTTTGTGACCAGACATGCATTTTTAAATAAACTATGGCATTCATGTATATGAGTATAAAAAATATATACTACCTGAATGGGAATCCTTTTTCCAAATTATAAGCAAGGTTTAAAGTGAATGCTAACAATTCGGCATAAAAAGACAGGATGTTTAAACCAGCCGTGCTCTTGGCCCTCACAACCTTTATTATTTGGGGTACTTTCACTAAAAAAAAGTATTGTCGTCACTTAGATGCGCAATTGCAAATCCAAATTTCTTAACTATAAATCACATTATAGTTCTTCTTTCAAGAAATCAGAATTTAGTAATTTCATCATACAAGTAATAATGTACATCACACATACCCATTGCTGAGCCAAGAACAACTCCATACCCAAGGCCTTTGCTAATAAGAAGCTTTAAACATGGAACTATTTAAAATATATTGAGAAATACATGTAATTGCTATATACTTGGAAAGTTTACTCCCAAATACCTACGTTAAGAGTGGGAGATATAAAATGAAATAAAAAATAACGGTAAACTAAAAATGGCTTAGAGTTTTTTCCATTTCTCATATAGTGAGTACTGTGAATGAGACATGTCGTGTTTGCGGCATTCAGGGGTGTCAGAACAGGGGGTGAATGAAAATATTCCTGAGGTGAATTTAACCTGCCTGGTAGTTTGATTATTCTAATTTGGATGGACACAGGACGAAAATGCAAAGTCGACCCAATTGTTCTTGATTTTGTAAAAGATGGTTGTTTAAAGACAGTGTCAGGATTCCATTGGAGTGATATGAAAATCAATCACTAAGGGATCATGCAGACATCAAGACAACTGTTTACTGAGGCTATTAAAGGTCATGATGTTACAGTGTTATACAAGGCTAGCCTTTTTTAATCCCATGTTCACAACTTCACAGGCTAGGCCCCGACTGGAATGTTTGGAAATTACCCGGCAGCCCAGTGGAGTTTCAAAAAATTGATAGTAAACATATAGAAAGCATCAAAATTGCGTGGCCGATATCTCCGCCGCGCGATACAAACTTTCCACACTGGGGCTAGGTCCAAACTTCAAAGCCCTCTCATATGAACATTTGTATTCCCCACCCCTATCAGACCTACCAAGTCTCCCGCATTTGGTGGGAGACTCCCGCATTTTGGAGTCATTAATCATCTCCGTCCCACATGAAGAGAATTAGAAGAAATCTCCCACACTCCTTGTGTTTTACCTGCAACACAGTAGTGTTGGGAGTGCTACCAGAAAAAACTAACAAATTATCTAGACACATGTCGATTGATATGTGTTGTACAGCTGAGCAAGAGTGCTCTGAATACAGTCTTAGTTTCAAGGTTCTCTTAAACGAAGTGCTCACAGCAATCCCTTAGTCCCCGCTAGAGATTTCGTTGAGCTTATGTTTATTGTCAGCTCACGTCACACACAGAAAAATCACAAATATTGTAATCTCCCTCATTTTATGCACCACACCTTGTCATACCCTATCCCCATGGGATACCCCCAGGATCAGATGCTGAACAAAATTCCCCACCACAGCAAAATGCAGGGGGGAATGGTAATTAAGCTGGTAACTAGAAGAAATGAACCATGTGCTTTATGCATGAGTCAATTCCATGAGTAACCATCCCCCCCCCCCCCCAGGACACTGCCGGGCATTTGCTGGGAACGCCATTCCAAGGGGCCGAAAATTTGCTCACAGATTAGTGCACCGGGGCCGAACATTGTTTGGTGGCTAAAAGACCCCCGGACATTTGACACTAGCGGAAAACACCTCCAAAAAATTTGAGATTTGTTAGTTGAAGCTTGTTAATGTTAATAATACAAAATAATATTTGATAATACACTGTTACTGAACTAAAGTTTAATACCAGAATACAGTTTTAAGTTGGACGGCTTTAATCCCAGGGGTGGGACATTTGACACCTAACAGTTGTGCGGGGGCTGTACATTTTCCCTCCTGGTGTCTCCCTGAGGCCGCAAGGCCGGCGAGAGAGGGGGCAGGGGGAGCAAAATACCCGGGGCCTGGAGTGCTCAGAGGGGCCCGGAAATCTCGGTAAAATGTTCCTAAATGAAATACGCCTACTTGCACACTATCCGCTGATCGTCGTCATCGATCTTAAAACGTACCAAATGTGAAATAAACGATTTTTCGATCGTTTTCTCAGCAAAAACAGTTAGCTGAACGTCGTTCACATTGCGTTTTTATCAGTTATGCGGCGATTTCTTGCAAGTAATTCGCTGGCAATTCTCTCGTTGATTGCGATTAAAAATAGCCAGTGGGAGAGTCGAGAGGGACAGGGGGCCCGTGTTCACCAATCGTCATTTTGTCCCGGGGCCCGTGGTTGGTTCTCGCCGGCCTTGCGCGGCCGGGAATTTGCCCTTTCTTTCCAAAAAAATGCTAATGTCCGGGTATATTCCGGGGGGATGGTTACTCATGGAATTGACTCGTGCATTATACATCCATTGATTCCAATATTCCATATGGGCCTTTATATCACATATTCTACGAGATAAATGTTTCTGGAATTTTACACTTAAATGAATATATATGCCATCAAAAACACGCTATAATATGCTGAATTACACGACTTCAAAACATGCGATCAAATATTTGGATTACAGACCGATTACTCGCCTTTCAGATACGATAAATCTCTTTCTACGATTAAATTTAACTAGAATATTCAGAAAGAGAACTTACCATCAAAGAAACTTAAATCTAGAAAGAACTTATCATGACATTCTCTAGTTATAAGCAGCAATACCCATGGCGTGAAAAAGAAATCACCAGTCGCCATATTGACAACTCTACTGTGTTGACTTGAAGTGGCAGCGAATAGAATAGAGACACAGATAGAGATGTCGGATGTGGCAAATTATACAGATCAGTGGGTGGTGGCAACGCTGAATAAAGTTCTGGTTGGGAACACGTTAGAATGAGCTTTGTTTTATTTTCCCCGAAAAATAAGGAACGTTTCACATTATTCACACAGGGCCGAAACTAGTGGGGGGTGTGTGTATTGGGGGCGGGGGGGGGGGTAGACACCCCCCAATCTTGTAATATTGGAGTTTGGTCGGGCAAGTTCCAAACGCTCGTCGGGCAAAAACTATGTAATTGTACTGTTGTCTTGCTTTTAGACTAAAAGTCCATTACATTAAAAATCCACTACACTGATTAGCTTTAACAGCTTAACAGCTGTCAAAAATATTAAAAAACAAAAAAGTCAACAAAATATTAAAGGTCAATTGACACATTATTTCGTGCAGTTCTACGCCCCCAAACGTTGACCAATCAAAACGCGACGTTGTTTACACTTGATTATGTACATGAAACAACACATACCGGTTTCAACTTTCAAGGCAATTTTCTGTTTTTGAATGTGCTGGCAAAATTCATATTACTTTGACATTACGACTCAGAAATCATGTTTGTATTTGGCTACTAGAGTCGTAATATCCATAATTTTAAACGTATACTTTTTACGGGATTGACTGAAATTGTACGTGTTGAATTGTACACAACTATTTGATATGTTTGAAATGAAATCAAATGCGATAAATTTGTCAAACTTCAAGGTTGAACCCAAACGGTATAAACCTTCCTAGTCGAAAACTAAAGTCAGAGTTCGCCTAACTTTTTATTTTAGTCGCAGATTACAATTGCTATCGTGGAACAACTTCGCGATTACAGACAACAGTACAATTGAACGTCTTCGTGCGGAAAATTTTTTTCCCTAAAAAGCTGTCGACGGGGGGGGGGGGGCAGGAAGTCGTTGTCCGGGAAAAATTTTTTTCGGAAAAATGTTTTTGCGACTGCCCGTCGGGCACTCCCTATTGGTCGGGCAAAACAAACTTACCCCCCCCCCCCCGTAATACGTCGGCCTTGTATTCACAATAGAGAGTTTAAGTTCGACTTCCAATACCGATACCGATGTTTTCACTTCCGTTCTCATTTTGGTACCGGGAATTTTAAAGCGTTAAGTTATCACGACAGATAAAGTATAGAACACATTAATCGTCACCGAAAATGTGCGGTATACTAAACGGCAGCTGAGCTAAAATTCCGACTAAAACATGACTCAGGTGATGCTAATAAACAAATGGTTTACATGTTTATCGTAAAAATTATGAAATATCCAATTTATATGAGTTTATCTTACAATTCCCCCGACTTCCAATACAAGGCCGACTTCGGTAGTGATGACTTCACAGCTGGCCCAGGCTCTGTGTGGGTATTTATTTATTTAATTTTTAATTTTATTATATTTTGCATTAAACATGTACTTTATTATAAAGTATAACTTACTTAGTCTCCTTTATGTATTATGTGTGATTTGGGAGTGGTTTTAGTTTGATATAATGATATAAAAACATGAGAATGCAATGATATACACTTTATATATTGTAAAATATTGTAAAAAAATGTCTAAATACGCTCTGATTCAAAATATTGGTGGACTTATTTGTTTACTGTGTCATTTACTTCACTCTCATCGATTTTCAGGCCATTTCGTTGAACCCGAAAGGGTAATATTAGATGATGAATAATATAGGCCGGGTTCAACGAAATGGCCTGAAAATCGATGAGAGTATATGCAGTGCAGCAAGGAAATATTGGTCCTTGCAAGGAATTTACAAGGAAATAAAACTTACAAGGAAATGGCAAGGAAAAGTACAAAAATTAAAGGAAATTGCAAGGATTTCTGTAACTTATGCCAGTTACAAGTCTTAAACCAGTAAAAATCAAGTTATAAGTAGTATAGGTCTAACAAAAGAGGTATAGAAGAATCTGATAATGCCATTTCCGGCGATCTAGGGACTATAAATTTCAACTTTTGCCGTTCAGCACCTTCTGCCATTCAACCCCTCCACCATTATCAAGTACCTTACGCCCCTGGATGAACATAAACATATATGTGTAGCAGATACTTTCATGGAGGGAACTCTTGAATGCTTGCACAAATTTTCAGGCAATGTAATGATGCTCGATTTCTCATAGGGTCTATGATACACTTGCCTCAAATTTGCCTGAATTGTCTTGATTTTTTCCACCGTTTGGATGGCAAGGAAATTTTGTGGGAAAAAAGGAATTTTGGAGATTGTAAAAGGATTTTTGAACAAGCGGTTGTGATCACTGAATACACTGTTACTGAACTAAAGTTTAATACCAGAATACAGTTTTAAGTTGGACGGTTTATACCCCCATGCAATTTTTGCTATGCATTACGCGATTGTAATTTCATCCATTGATGAAAAAAAAATTTTTAATCCCGGGGGTGGGACATTTGCCACCTAACGGTTGTGCGGGAGGGCCCATACATTTTCCCTCCTGGTGTCTCCTTGCGGCCGGGAATTTGCACTTTCTTTCCAAAAAAATGCTAATGTCGGGAGGATGGTCAGGCCTAAAAATATCGGTCGGGCACAGACATTGTCCAACTCATTCATGAAATTGTCCGACGTAGAGAGGAAACCGCCGGACATTCTGTCCAACCTAAGTGAAACTGAGGTTTATTCTTTGTCCGACCCGAGTGTATTGGTGTCCGACCGAACTGTAGCTTTGTCTGACGTGAATCAAAATGTACCCTAGCTTAGGACTACAGGCTCGTATGTTAAATGGAGAGTCAGAGTAATGTATAAAAAGTGAACCGGAAATGATGTTTTAATGTAATCTGCTGCTTAATCTTACTGCTGCTATTGGCAAACAAGTTAATTTTGGCTTGGAAATAAGTATGAATGACACCAATTATTTGATATCTTCACAACATTTACTGTTCGAATTAATACATTGTGCTGACATTCGTGTCATTTAGACTTATTTCCGACCCAAACTGAAGGTCATCGGACATCATCATACATGTCCGACCCAAACTCAAAGTCATCGGACATTTTGTCAGACGGTCATGTAAAATATATTTTAAGGTCTGGGGATGGTTACTCATGGGAATACAAGTCGTTTCACCCCCAAGTCGATTCGCCCCAAGTCATTTCGCCCCCAAGTTGATTCGCCCCAAGTCGTTTCGCCCCAAGTCGTTTCGCCCGAAAACAACAGAAGGTAAACTAAGTAAAATTATTTATTTTCCGTATCGTTTTACAGCATGGACATGCTTGAAAAATGCTTTTTAACAGACAACTACAGATTTTAGGTGAATCGTCCTTAAATTGTGAAAGAAAACCCTGTGGTTGCAGTTTCATATTGTGAATATTTTTTCATGGTTTTGGCGGTTTGCAGTAGAGTCCCAACATGCAACTCTAGAGATGCGTAGTTCCTATAGACGAATTTAGGCAATTTGGCTCAATAAATATTATTGTGACAACAGACGCCATTTTGGCAGTATGAACATATAGATCACTGAGCTGTGCCTGTGACATAGATGTATGAACAGCCCCCAACCACCCGGAGAAAATAGGGTAGCACGGTCAAACTTCTAACATATATATGAAATGCCAGGAAACTTATAAATAATATAAATAACTATAATATAAATATAAATATATAAAGGAGAATATAAAATATAATATAAATAAAGGAAATGCCAGGAAATATGCCAGTTTGCCATTTTTGCCAGGAAATTTTGCAATTTCTGCAGGGGTGGTAATGTGATGAACATTACATATAGGGGCAAACATAATGACACAATCTTTAAAGACTGAGAAAGTGATATAATATTTTCAAGTTAATTCCAGTATGAGTTGTGTTACATATAGGGGCGGGAGTAAAAACCTTATGTTACATATAGGGGCAGGGGTATTAAAACCTTATCTAAGTATCTTAGACTGATATAGGGGTGAACACATTATATTAGATATAGGGGCAGGTGTAAAAAAGTTATGTTACACATAGGGGCAGAGTTATAAATCTCTGTATAAGTTTAAGATAAGGTTTATACCCCTGCCCCTATATGTGACATCTTGGATAATAAAATAAATGGATAGGAAACTAGATGACGTGACCTAATGTTTTCAATGGGCTAACGGCGTGGTTGGATGTCCCAACCTAGTTGCAAACCAAATTCTCAAAAACAGCATGTTTAGCTATAATACAGCTAGAAACATTTTAGTCAAAGAGCAAATAAATATAACCACGCCATTCTACGATGAAAACTCTGAGTATTCCCAGTCAATTTTAGCAAATATTTCAAGAACTAAACAGTGAAAAATACATCTCAAATTTCGTTAAAATTTGTGACGCCAATTTCGTAGCTACAAATGTAAAAAAATACAAAACAAAGATGAAAAAAAATTTACCTTGAATACTTTGTTGTGGCTTAGGCATGTTTTTAAAACAATTAGACCAGTTTATGCTTCAATATCACCCTTTTAAAGTGGAAAATATAGCAAAACAACAAAAATGCAGAGAACTTCAATGGTAATATTCATTATACGTGTGACGTCACGTTCTTCAACAAGGATGAGGTCAATGACGTCAGGAAGTTTCCTATCCAGTTATTTTACAATCCATGCAGGGGCGGATTTAGACCGTTGCAACTGTAGCATATGCTACGGTCAGATTTTCCATAGGCCAGTTCTAACATGGATCATAAAATCAATCTAAAATATAATTTAGCAATATTTTGTTTACTTTCCTTGTTTATATTTCAAGGTTTTATTTTATTTAGTTTTATATGTTCTAAAACATTTTATTTTGACAAATTGATGACATTTATAATACGTAACGTTAATTGTTTTAAGAATTCCCGCCCGAAAATACGGTTGTAATTGCCCGTTTGCGGGTCATTACGCAATGGACTATAGCTTAGAAAATATCATCCTTCAGAAATACACCGTAGCGTGTTGCCCATATATGATCAATTTTCGCTACGGTCAGATTCATTAAGGTCGAATCTGACCGTAGCGAAAATTGGCATATACGGCATTCTGATTGGTTTGCTACGGTCAAACGTAGCAAACCAATCGGAATGGGGCAAATGCTATAGTTTGCTACGGTGGCATGAAATTGGCTACTGCTCCAGAACGATGGAATATCTGATATTTGTGTTTGGCTCATCAACAACATGCTATTGGGAACCCACAGTACGGTTGTGCGCATTTCGAAATGAAAGCCGTCGTAAAGCTAAAGGATTTATATGCGTCGAGGTAGAAATAAAATCAGATAGTAAAACGAATCATTTCCAGTCAGGTAAGCCTTATGAATGATAAGAGATGCACATTATATTTTAATTTGAGTTTTTACTGTATAGTGTTCGCTATTAACTTCGCTTTATTAAAGTGTTTGTGCGCGTATGTACAGTATACCTGCATGTATTGGAATTAATACGCAAATTATGATACGCGCGTATATATATCATGTTTTATAGCGCGCTAATATTTGTTTGTAATGCGTATATATTCGTATATATAAGATACGCGTATTCATATCATACGCGCGTTCATATGATATGCGTATTCGTATGATACACGCGTTCGTAGATGATACGCGTATTTCGGTATTCAATTGATAATGATATGCGTATGATACGAGTATCATACCGATATCGTATGTTAAAATATACGCCAGCAATAGTTTACATTTTGAGATCATTTTGGCTTATTTTTGCTTGAGAAATGAATACAATGAGGACAAATTTAATGGTCACATGCAGTGCCCAGAACGCAGGAAATGGCATTTCCGGGCTTCAAATTTCAAAAATTTTCCGGGGGGGCATACCCCCGGACACCCCTAGCTATGCGAGGTCTTGGAAAATGCTATGGTCAGATTTTGGGCTGGATCCGCCCCTGCCATGGTGACATAATGTGTTCACCCCTGCCCCTATATATGTATAAACACGACTCATACTGGAATAATTTAACTTGAAAATATTATGTCACTACGATGAAAGCAACAAGTATTTCGAGATAGCTTTTTGGGCATATTTTTTCTACTTTGATGGCGTAACTATTGTTTTTTGACATTATTATGACGTAATTATTTGGGAAGCCGACATTTGGTAAATTTTTTCTTAATTTAGTAAAATTTGAACAAAATTTTAGTAATGACTGCTGAAAATACCACTCATGGAATTGACTCATGCATTATACATCCATTGATTCCAATATTCCATATGGTCCATATGGTCCATAATAGACACTTCCCGAATTTGCTTGAGTGCACACGAAACAATAGCTTGGAATCGAGGCGGACAATGTAATCCATTGGAAATAAGTATAGTTTTCCAATGGATACATTGTCCGCCTCGATTCCAAGCTATTGTTTCGTGTGCACTCAAGCAAATTCGGGAAGTGTCTATATCACATATATTTCTACGAGATAAATGTTTCTGCAATTTTACACTTAAATTAATATATACCCCATCATAAACACGCTATAATATGCTGAATTTAATACACGACTTCAAAACATGCGTCAAATATTTGGATAATTTACAGACCGATTTAATACTCGCCTTTCAGATACGATAAATCTCTTTCTACCATTAAATTTAACTAGAATATTCAGAAAGATAACTTACCATCAAAGAAATTTAAATCTAGAAAGAACTTATCATGACATTCTCTAGTTATAAGCAGCAATACCCATGGCGTGAAAAAGAAATCACCAGTCGCCATATTGACAACTCTACTATGTCACAGAATAAAGAGGACTATGTTGACTTGAAGTGGCACCGAATAGATTGAGATGTTGATGTGGCAAAATATACAGATCAGTGGGTGGTGGCAACGCTGAATAAAGTTCTGGTTGGGAACGTTGGGAACACGTTAGAATGAGCTTTGTTTTATTTTTGAATTAGCTTTGTTTTATTTTCCTCGAAAAATAAGGAACATTTCACATTATTCACAATACCAACGGTCCGACGGTTGTCCGAGTTCTCTCCGAAAACTGCGCCGTTTCATGCGTTCACGTGCACCTTCGTCTTTGTTTAGACTTTCAATGGTATAAAATAACATAATAGAACGAAGGAATTTTCAAGGAAGTAATTCGTCGCTCCTCGCGTTTATACGAGGTCGACTTGAAGCAAGTCTAGCAGACTACTTAGGTTTTATTTTTTGTTTGCATCGAGATTGCGGGAATTCATACGGTTGCTGCAGGGCTCTTTTCAAATACGTCCAGTTTTATGTGGCGCATTGTGGTTTAATAGCATAGCCATAGTTTACCCTGGGACGGTTCCGAATTCGCCAAAACATTTATATATGAATATAATTTTTATACCTTCACTGCTTCACATATTGTCAGTGAACCACGTCGGGACACGTCATATTTAACTGCTTTGAAGTACTGTATTAAAATATTCATATATAAATAAGGAAATATACATGACTCATTAAACCTGATCAACAATATGGCAGACACGACAACTCACGGACGTTTTGAAGAAATAAGCGAAAAGGCGAGCGAAGATGAGAAATCCCTTCCGTTTATGGACAAACTTCAATTGTTAGACGAAGAAATACGCCTGCTTCAGGAGTGTTGCCTCAAGCTTGGTCTGAACAGCAAGGAAATCGAGTGCTGTGCCGAGCCACTTCTCAAGGAACAACGAACTGAGAACCGCAAGAAGTGGTGGACTAGGGTATTCTATATATCTTTCTTGGTTGCGTTTATTGCATTTATTTTGTGGTATGAACCAACATACCGCTATATTTGTATCTTTGGAAAGCTCTCGAGCATGAAGGTAAATTTAACCAGGATTCAATCTTTCAGAAATAATTAAATAAACACAAATTTCATAATAAACCAGTGTGATACTATAGCCGCAGATTGGATGACAGTGAGGTCTGTGACCTTTGGCGGGATTGTTTGTTCCTGCATATAAAATTAAATCCACAGTTTTGGGGATTTTACATTCGAAATATATGTAGTTTAGAATGACTTGTTTGGTTTGTGACTTTGTGTAAGTTAAATTATGTTATGCATGGCGAAACTGGAATTTTATATTTTCGTAGTCACAACAAATTTGGGCATAAAAATGTTAAAATTTACCCAAATGCTAACAATTTATACATAGTTGAAATTGCTAGAGTATGACAAGTTTAAAATATTGGGATCACCGAGGGGATCACAGAGTGTCAACAGAGCCATTTTATGGTTGGGGGGCTGGTGTTGAGATAACATAACAATATGTCCTCCTAGGGGTCTGCATCCCCAGAAAAGTGTGAAAATTACAATCCTGGAAAGTGCCTTTCCAACTATTTTCCTACAATAATATTATTTAATTTAAAGTGACCATGTGTATTGCCTGATGATAGGCAAATATATTTCAGACAACACATGTTTCACTGTCAACTATGAGATCAGTGACATGTCTGCTGTTATTTAAATTAGTAGACGGAATTATAGCAGGGGCAGATTAAATGCACCTGGGCTAAAAAGCAATGCCCTGTGGGCCCCCACTTCTCTACAATAGGAGGCCCCTTGGCTGCAAGCCCGCAAGTAACTCGAGAGCCTATTCAAAGAACAGCAACCATAATAAATGAAGTAAAAAAGTTGACAGCAAGGTTGTAGCGACCAGGGGTGTGTGTGTGTGTGTGTGTGTGTGTGGGGGGGGGGGGGGTAAC